CATCTATGTATTTTTTTCTTCTTCTTCAGCAAAGATCATATATTTGCAGGAAAAAGATCGAGATCTTGAAAAATCAGTGTTCCCATAAGTTTTCTTCTCTTCCAACCAGTTTTTCTCTCCAACAAAAACCACAAATGTGAATGTCTTTAACATTAATATATCATTTACGGTTATCGAATCCCAAAGGGACCATGAATATGCAAACCATGCTAGTGAACATTAGTGATTAGTGTATCCTAGTATCAACAATTACATTAGCATCTATTCAATCCATGCATCTAATTCCCACCTAATTAATAAATATGGGTGTACTTAACTTCCCCCCCAACTACACCTAAGTATGGGTGTAAAGTCTATTTCTATTCTAGTACACGTATCAAATGTGTAGCAAATACACTTCAATTCCCAACTACCCCTACACTTCTTCATTCATTTCATTCAATTCCTTAATTAAATTTGCAGCTAGCTGCCTTCATTTCTGTTTTTATGGCACAACCACATTATTTTTACTTTACAATGTATTATAGTGGCATCCCAATGTGCGATATTGGAAATGCTAATTGGACTTGGTGTGCATATTACATCATCATTGATTTACAAGAAAAATGCACGGCCTGAAGATGTTCTTTAAGTAAAGCTTGTATTGTGACCCTAATAAAGGACCACAAGAATGTAAACTAGTCTAGGTTTCTTAAAGTTGATCGCTTGGCTCAAACTAAGAAAATCAATAGACAACTCTAACACAAAGTTGAACTTGGTGCATATTACATAATTGAGGAGGGGGAGAGTCAGGTGGGGATATATGGCAAACCATATGTCCAGATAAAATTTTGTGAATGCCCTAATGTATATATATATTAATTAGCTATCATTAAAGTTTCAATACAAATAATAATAACATATTTTATACTTATATATATATATATATATATATATATATATATATATATATATAGGGTTGAGTTCACATGAGGACTGAAATACATAGAGGACTATGCGGACCAATATTAGGGCACACAACTTAATACACAATGGCACACAAGAGTACATGTAAACATCAGGTTTCGAACTCAGGATCTATTAATTATCAAATATCTGCACGCGACATACAAACTGTGGCACACGACATATAGAGTAATGACACACATCATATTAGTCCTCACAGTCCTCTATAATATACCGGTTCTCATTTGAACTTGGTGCATAACTTCATTTGTATAAATGTTTGCAAGTTGGCAACCAAAAGATGCATTAATTTCTTACCAATTCAAGGTTGGTTTTGAACATTAAAACTGAATTGGTAGAAGCATGCCCTCCTGGTACTTGGTTACCTACCCACTCAACTTTCTAGTCTAGTTTGATAAAACCGACTTCTCAACTCGTACAATACTCTCTCCTTCTGCAAGGTCCCTACTACCCTATCATTATATTTGTAATTTAGTATCATTTTCTTTATATCCCTCCAATTCTAACTCTTAAAATATAATATAATATAATAATAATACTAATAAAACTTCTTAAAGTAAACCCACTTACTTTGCCAAATGTCATTTTCGTTAGTTTGCAAGCTTTCATTTGATAAAATTGATAAGAGGTGATGAAGGTTATTTGTGCGAAGAATGTGCATGCAAGAATGGAAATTGATGATGACTAATTGGATGATTTGTGGTTTAGCTCTTCCAAATCACTTCGGCAGGGATTTTGGGAGTTTAGAATTAGCCTAGCCTAATGTCACGGGCATAGAGTGCGGTGCAGTGTGCACACGACGCCTGCGCAGCGTCCCGGGCCCCTCATACCCCGCGGACCAGCCTTACCCTCATACGTGCCAAACTGGTTTAACCCTACTATGGGCTCATCAGGGGACCAACAATAACTCCCAACCAATTGTACCCTTCGAATCGCATCGGTTCTCTTTATAGTCAAGTCAAAGATCAGTGACAGGCTCCCCAAACTTAACCAGGTTGGCGTGCCTGACTCGGCTAGACCATAGTGTCTAAGGCAGAACTCCCTTAATGCTATTGACACCCCCTTTACTCAATTGGCAAGCTAACCAGTTGAGCTATTCATTTCTTGGGTCTTAATAACACGGTCACGAAAAACAGTTCGACAGTATACTCAGAAATCTAAGTGTATGTATATTAAAAAAAAGGATGTATTTGGTCATGTCACTTTGCAATCTTCCATTCTTCCCACTTGCAGGAATGGACCGTCTGAATGTGGCCAGCCATGAAAATTTATTAGTTAGATTAGACGTTCAAGTTCAAAACATTTGTTAATTTGAAATATCACCTTTTTTTTTTTTGGGTTTGTTTCTTACGTAACTACTAGCAAATGTTATCAATGAAATTTGCATGAATATAATGTTTCATTAATTTAACTTTGTGAAATTGTAGTGTATAAGGTTCCGAGAGTTGGTTCTATTCAATAGTGTTAGGACTCTATTGTTGTATGTGTTAGTAGTCTTGTTATGTATTTTGTATTTATATTCTGTACAATTCTATCGTGAATACTATTCCACAAATATTGTTCTCATTTACAGATTTATTTATTTATTTTTCTATTTATAGTAGTCAATTCAAAATTAAGCTAAAATTTTCAATTTAAACACAATTACTAATTCACTATGTAATTTTTTTTTTAAAATTTTTGTCTTTTTTATTTTTCAAATGAAAAATCCAAAAAACGAGCTTGGTGTTTTTCATTTTCCTATTGAAGAATTAAAAAGAAAAAGAAAAGAAAAGAAAAAGAAGCTGATAACGAAAGAAGAAAACAACTTTGAGTCGTTACTGAAATCTAGAAAAAATTGAAAAAATATTCTCCCTTTTTAGGTTATAAAACAAAGCACGGTTGAATATTTTTTTTTCATTTTCTATTTTGTTTTTAGGAAAAAAGTGTCAAATTGGCGCCTAAGTCACATGAATAGTGCAATTGAGTTCCCTAAGTGAAAAAAAATCCATTGAAGTCCTCTAAACAAGTAATTTTTTTTAATAAAGTCCAAATTGATTTGTTATCAAGTTAAATATATGTATTGTTGACACGTGTCTTTTTTATTTATTTTTTTAAACAAATTTTTTATTTATTAAAAATTTAAAAATATTATTTATTATTTAAAAGAAAAATAGCCACCGGCTGTGATAGCTGGTAGCTGTCTTCTGCCGGACAACCGTCTAAGGAAGACGGCCATGGCCGTCGCCCTCGATCCAGACGGTCATGGCCATGGCTAGACAGCTATGGCCGTCTGGAACGAGGGCGGCGGCCATGGTTGTTGCCCTCGTTCCAGATCTAGAAGACGGCCATTGCCGTCTGACTGTCTTTGCTGGACAACCACAACTGTCCGTGAAGAAGACAGCCACCGGCTGTCCAGCGCGGATAGTCGGTGGATGTTTTTTTTTTAATTAATAAATAATATTTTTAATTTTTAATAAATAAAAAGATTTGTTTAAAAAAATAAATAAAAAGGGCATGTGTCAACATTGCATAGATTGAACCTGATAAACAAGTTAATTTGGACTTAATTGAACAATTTTACCGGTTTAGAGGACTTCAATTAAACTTTTTTTTTTTACTTAAAGAACCCAATTGCACTATCAATGTAACTTAGGAGGCCAATTTGACACTTTTTCCTTTTTATTTTACTCTTTTTTTTTTCTTTAAAAAAAAACATCTGGAGATATTTTGGATATTTAAAATTGAGTGTGAAATGATTTACTCGAATAGAATATGCCAAATTGCCAACATTAAAAATTGTGAATTATATACAATATTGATTTCAGATAGTGAGTATATGGGATAGAAGAAAAAATGAATAAATTTCAATTATTAATTATTAATTTTGATCTATTTGTCACAGTTAGTCTCCTGTTTATTTTCATGCAGTGTTTTATTTTATTTTTTAAACTTAGGTAATCCAACTTCGCCGAACTAATCTTAAGCCCATAGGACCCCACCACTAGAGGGTAAATTATGTTGTGCATCCGTATGCACCATGCATGGAGGCAAAAACGACATCGTTTTATTAAAAACGTGTGTCCCATTAAAAAAAAATCATTTTCGATTCCCAACAACAACATTATATTGTGCATAATTTGAACTATATATCCAGAATCAATGAACTAAAAATCCAGAATCAATGAACTAAAAATTCAGAATCCATGAACTAAAAATACAGAATGAATGAACTAAAAATAAAGAATGAATGAACTAAAAATCCATAATGGATGAACTAAATATCGATAATGAATGAACTAAATATCCAGCATGAATGAAAAAAAAATATCAGTTTCGATTTACGTCTAAATATCTAGAATCAATGAACGAACTAAAAATCCAGAATCAATGAACTAAAAATCTAGAATGAATGAACAACATAATGCTGTTGAGGGGAATCGAAACTGATTTTTTTTTTTTAAGTGGGACGCGCGCTTTTAATAAAACGACGTCGTTTTTGCATCCAGTTGCGGAATCAGTCCACCAGTCATATCCTAGTCTTCATGTGCGCACAAGGGATCCAATCCCGACCTTCCAACATCCTCGAGTCTTTTTCCTATACATGTTTCCAGGGATCCAATGCAGACCTTTCAACATCTTTGAGCCTTTCCAAAACCATCACATTACTGCCTCCCGTCATGACTTTAAGTTAGACGGCAAACCAATTAGGCTAAGTCCTATGGGCTAGTCTCTTGTTTATTTCTTCTTTCTTCTCTCAAACGATTGAATTAACAACCCCAAAGGTTCCACACACCCTGACAGAGCATTTGGAAGGATAATGTAAATTAAACTCAAGCCTAGTAGACATGGTCAAATGCCAATGCCGAAGAGAATAGTCTCCTGTTTATTGGTTGAATTGGTGGAGGATTAAAAGTGAGGAAACATATATAGTTGTAGGGAGAACGAATAAGTGGGGTTGGTGTGGGGCATTTAAGAAAATTGAAGAGTGTGAGAAGGGAAAAGTAGCTGAAACCGGCCTGAAGGGCAAGACTACGTAGTATATATATATTGTAGGTCCTCCGATCTCCACCCCACTCCTTTTCATCATCATCTATCATATCTCATATATATTCTCATCATCTATAATTGAAAACACGCATAGTAGAGATTAAAATAATGTCGTCTCAAATCACAGAGGAGATAAGAAGGAGCGCAACGGAGCTGTACAAAGGCGACGAAATCTGCCAAGAGAAATCCAAATTCCTGCTCAAAGAAGTGGGCTTACCCAACGGCTTACTCCCCATGAAAGACATGGAGGAGTGTGGCTACGTTAAGGACACGGGTTTCGTGTGGCTCAAGTCCAAGAAGAAGACGGACCACAAGTTCGAGCAAATCGGGAGATCGGTCCAGTATGGGACTGTGGTCACTGCCTACGTTGAGACGGGTCGGATCAAGAATCTCACCGGAGTGAAGGCCAAGGAGCTCATGCTCTGGCTCACCGTCAACGAGATAAGCGTCGATGACCCCCCCACCGGGAAGATCCACTTCAAGAGCACCACCGGCTTGTCCCGCACCTTCCCCGTCTCCGCCTTCCAAATCAAGGAAGAAGGAAAAGAAGAAGAAGAAGACCAGACCAAGGACAAACAGGTGGTGGCCACACTGGCCACCAATGCACCCTTGCCTGTCAAGGAACTTTAATTAAGGCCGCGTCCATAGGGTCGAGGGTTCAACCTTTTGGGGAAAAAAGAATTCTAATTAACCTTATCATCATGGATTATATTGTATTCAATATATATATATATATATATATATATATATATATATATATTAAGTATGTCCTAGCTAGGGTAGCTTCATATTTAAGTTGCGATAAGTATGACATTCTACAACTTATATTAGACCGGAGTCCGGTCGTACGTACGTACTAAGCATTATGCCTTCTGATCAATTCTTATATATGAATGAAGTAGCTGCTATTTTTATCTGAGGCTAAATTTATCCGGTCTGAGTTCTACATATATTCTTTATTTCTACCCCTTAGCTTCAATTCACTTTTATTTCTTGATGTGCATGACAATTGATGATTTGTTATCTTCATTTTGGGTCTCAATAAAAATGTCATCATCAAAAAAAGTAAAAATTGGGAGTAGTAGTAGTATTTTTCAATTTTTCCCCTTTCAAGATGACATGAATTAAAAAAAAAAAAAAAATTAAAAAGGGTTTGGGGTGCCAGTTTGGCTTGAAATTTAGCTTTCAAGTTGTGGCATGTGGTAGCCTTTTGTCTTTTATAATTATTTATTATTTATTATTATATTGTAATGTTATTTGTGAGTGGGTCTACTTTTGAAAATGAGAGAATATTATAATACAGAGATGTAAAGAAAATAGTAAAAGAATTTGTGCAGGTAGCTAATAGCGGTCAAGACCCATGGTACCTAGCTGCGGTCTATGGGAGCCCGACGCACCACCTGCGCAGACATCTTTGGAATGACCTCAGGCAATCGGCGCGGGGCTGCTATGGGCCTTGGATGATTGCTGGCGATTTCAATGCCGCCCGGACAAGAAATGAAACGAAGAATTACTCATCTTTCTCGGCCCACAGAAGTTCGAATTTCTCAGGCTGGATTCAAGATGAAGGTCTAATTGATATGGGCTTCTCAGGACCTAGCCTTACTTGGGTTAAAAATGGTAACAGTGATAACATCAAAGGTGCCCAGTTAAATCGGGCGATGTGTAACTTGGATTGGCGTACCATGTTTCCAGAGGCGACTGTTACGCACCTTGCACGACTTGCATCTGATCATGCACCCATCCTTGTACAGATCAAAGGCAAAAGGCTTAGTAGACCAATAGCGCCGTTTGTTTTTCAGGCGGCATGGTTTACCCGGGAAGACATCCACGATGTTGTGGACAATACATGGGATTCTAATCAAAACATAGTGGACAACTCAAAAGCGCTGGCTGCAGCGTTATCTGAATGGAACAGGAACTCTTTCGGCAACATCTTTAAAAGAAAGCGAATTCTCAATTCCCGAATTGGGGTCATTCAGAGGGTCCTTGCAGAAAACTTTTATAAGGGTCTTACAAAGTTAGAGCTGAAGCTTAGGGACGAGTTAGAATCAACCCTGGAGCAAGAAGAGCTCCTTTGGTATCAGAAATCGCGCGAAGATTGGATCCACTCGGGGGATAGAAATACGGCCTACTACTATGCTGCAGCAACAGTACGCAAGTCTCGGGCCTCCGTTCAAACGCTCATGGACGACCAAGGAGAGTGGCTAACAGACGGGATGGATTTGCAGAACCATGTGCGCCAGTTTTATTTAACTCTCTTTGATGCAGATGTGACGGACCCACCGGCAGAACCCATGTTTGCTAATTTCCCAAGTTTGATTGATCTTGACTGGAATATTTTTAACAGGCCCGTTTCTAAAGACGAGGTGCACACAGCGCTGAAGGACATGAAACCCTACAAGGCACCGGAACCGGATGGTTTTCAAGCGGGATTCTATCAGCGTACGTGGGACAAGACAGGTGATGGCATTTTTAAGCTGGTTAGCCAAGCCTTCTCAACGGGATCCCTACCTGACGGTATTAATGATACCCTTATTGCCCTTATCCCCAAGGTGGGGGCACCAGAACGCATTAAGCAATTCCGTCCGATAAGTCTTTGCAATGTAAGCTACAAGATTGTGACCAAGATTATCACAAACAGGCTCAAGCGTATCCTGCCAAAGATTGTGGGGCCTTTTCAGAGTTCCTTTGTCCCGGGGCTACAGATAACGGACAACATCCTCATTTTCCAAGAGGTGATGCACACCATGCGGGAAAAAAAAGGGGGTAAAGGTTACATGGCAATCAAATTAGATTTGGAGAAAGCGTATGATCGGCTTTCCTGGCCCTTTATCCAGGACACCCTTGAACAAGCGGGTTTCACAGGCAGAATCAAAGAGCTCATGATGACGTGCATTCAGACCCCAAAGTTGCCGATCATCTGGAATGGGGAAAGGCTGCCGCCCTTCCATATGAAGCGTGGAATTCGGCAAGGCGACTCCATGTCTCCTGCGATCTTTGTTCTATGCATGGAAAGGCTGAGCCAGCTGATTATCTCGGAAATAGATCGCAAGGCGTGGAAAAGTATTAAACTAGCCAGTGATGGACCAACTCTAACTCATCTTTGTTTTGCAGATGACATGATCTTGTTCACGGAGGCAACGTCGGGTCAAGTAGACATGGTAAAAGCATGCTTGGACCGATTTTGCACGGCCTCGGGACAGAAGATTAGTTTGGACAAGTCTCAGGTGTTTTTTTCAAAAAACACGGACACAGCTTTGAAGGAGGAAATCTCACACAATCTTGGCATAGCCCCCACAACGGACCTGGGCAAATATTTGGGCGTCCCAACCATCCATGGGCGGGTAACCTGCGCAACACATGCGGACCTGCTCAACAGGATTTCTAACAGGCTCGAGGGTTGGAAAGCAAAGACCTTGTCTCTCGCGGTACGGGTTGTGCTCGCAAAGTCAGTTTTAAATGCCATCCCGGCATATATTATGCAGACAACACTACTACCGAAAAGCCTCTGTCTCGAGATTGAAAAACGGACAAGGAAATTCATATGGGGTAGCAATGGAATAGAAAACAAGATGAGCCTCGCGAATTGGGACTTGGTTACGACAACAAAAGACGAAGGCGGGTGGGGCTTAAACGACTAGGTGAGATGAATACGGCCTACATGGCCAAGCTAGGGTGGCGTTTGCTTACGGAAGCTGACACTCTTTGGGCTCGGACAATTAACTCAAAGTATAGGAAATCAGGAGACTTACATGGGGCCCAACAAAGCCGACGAAGGATCTCTAATGCTTGGAGGGGAATATCACAAGCCTGGCCAATAATGGAGAAAGGCTTGACATGCACCATCCGAAGTGGAAATACCACAAAGTTCTGGATGGATAAGTGGCTTAGTCCGGAACCGCTTTACAGCCGACTCCGAGTACCGCTCCCCCTGCCCGAGCTCTATGCGACGGTAAGGGAATATTGGGATGAGGCTCGAGGCTGGAAGTGGGAAGCGTTGGCGAATGCTCTTCCGGTTGACGCAAAGGAGAAGCTAGCTGGATATGTTCTAACTACGGACAGTGTGGAAGATAGAATAGGCTAGGAACTTGACCTGAGCGGGAAGTTCTCGATCCGATCTATGTACAGCACACTCGTGAAAGGTCCTAATAACAGTGAAGATGAGGACTGGCAGACAATATGGCGGATACGCGTGCCGGCTAGGCTCTGCAGAACGAACCAAGCGACACCTAACTAATGACCCTTTCTGTTTTTTGTTTTTTTTTTTTGCGCAGTTCAGGTGGAGAACTTAGACCACCTCTTCAGAGATTGCCCAACAGCGAAGGCGGTTTGGAATTCCACGTTGCCTAGAAGAACTCTCAGTCACCTGTCAACTTTGACTTGGAGGCAATGGCTCTTAGTCAACATCAAGGGAGAAGTAAGGCTAGGTTTCAATGACAACTGGCCGTCGATGTTCTGTGCTCGCCTTTGGTGGATTTGGCGATGGAGAAACGAAGGAGTGTTTAATAAAAAACACTTGCCATTGGCTAGCAAGTTAGAGTGGCTCACGATGTACGACGTGGAGGTGAAGGCCGCGTTCGAGAAATGCTTAAATCCTGAGATCGGGCGAAACCTGCAAACAATCGCACATATTGGCTGGACGAAGCCACCGAGCGGATGGCTGAAGCTTAACGTGGATGGCAGCTGTAACAAGAATGGCATGGCAGGCTGCGGAGGTTTGATCAGAGATGAGTATGGAGACTGGATACGGGGTTTCACGGCAAACATTGGCCGGTGCCAACCGCTGGAAGCAGAGGCATGGGGGATTTACCATGGTTTTCACGTGGCGAAAGTTTGTGGGGTTTCCAACCTCGTGGTTGAATGCGACTCCAAAAGCCTGATTGATAAGCTAGGCAGGGCTAATGGAGGAGACGAAGCAGAATGCAATGTTATCTGGAGATGTTTAAACTTGATCACCTTCTTCCAGAAGGTTGAGTTTGTGCATGTGTTAAGAGAAGGTAACCAAGTGGCAGATCATCTGGCAAAGGCGGCGCTTGACCATCAGATTGGCTTCTGAGTCATCGCCGAAGCGCCTTCGAGTGTTGATTCTTTAGTTAGACAATATAAACTGGGAGCAACGTTTCCCAGGCGCATGTAATCTTTCGGGCTCAACCCTTCTACCCGATGTAAAAAAAAAAAAAAAAAAAAAAAAAAAAAAAAATCACCTTTAAAAGTGAGAGTGTATTTGCAGGGGTAAAGATAACATGAAGGTAGAGTACGTCTTATCTTATGACATACAATATTCACATCATCGTGTCTTACATCGTATTCTTCAATCTTGTTCGGTTAGTAGGTCGATTATATTAATTCTATTCGTTGTAATTCGAATCTATGTAATGCATGTCAGTTAGGGAAATCTGCCCGATTCCCACTACCATGTGTCGAGTCATCTAGTTTCAATATTCTTGATTTAATATACACAGATATTTAGGATCAACTCCTTTATTATCCACTGATGGCTATCGTTACTTTGTTATTTTCGTGGATGATCACTCACGCTATACTTGATATTATCCCATGAAATTAAAATATGATCTTTATGTCATCTTTGATAAGTTTGGTATTATGGTCGAGCGTTCCTTCAATAGAAAAATTAAATCCATTTTCAATTTGATCTAGGGACTGAATATAAGAAACTACATCATTCTTTTGTTCAGTTAGGAATTAATCATAGACAATCATGTGCCTACACTCATGAACAAAATGGTCATGTCGAAAGAAAACATAGACACATAGTTGAAACAGGTTTAACTCTGATGGCTCGCGCCTCCGTTCCGTATAAATTTTGAGATTTTGCTTTTGAGACTGCTGTGTATTTAATCGATTAATAGAATGTCATCTACTATGTTAGATAACTCCAGTCATCACTTAGTTT